TTATCCAAAGTGCCAGTATTAAGCCATCGAAACACAATAAATCATCACAAAGACGCTAACAGAATATTAAGGTGCAAAAAGTGGCATAACACATTATTACAGCAATCTAGCCGTCCACTTCATGCAAACACTTCGCCTCACTACTTACTGATAAAAAACCTGGCGAGTACAAAATGCTGCAAAAAAAAAAAAAAAATTCCCCTCAAGAATTTTTCAAACTGGGAACCACAGTGGACTCAGATAACTGCAGCTAGAAATGTCTCTGTCGTTTTGCTAAGACCAGTCCAGTGGAATACAGCGTAAATAAAATCAGAGACATAAACCAAGTTTCAATAATTTTATCAGAATTTGCCAAAAAAAGAAGAGCTAAATGCTGATTGCTATAAACAGAATGCTATCATTCTAGCCGCCTCCAAAAGCCTACATTTCTCACAGCAAGTGTAATATTGAGAAGACCCGTCCTCACTTGAAAAATTAAATTAGATGCTTGCAACCTACAATAAGCAACTAATTCTTTCTCAAATAATTCTTTCTTTTTACGTTTAAAGCCAAAACAGCACAGATGGCACTTCCATGGCATGAACTGCAACAAGAAAAAAACAACTTACTCGAATCGGCTCGTCTGCGGAACAGGTACTGCTTCGCCGTTCGCCCCGGGAAGGATCGTTAAGGAACTTCTTGAACATTTCCTTAAATTACTTTTGTCAATATTTTCAATACATCAACACAGAGTATTTCTTTCCATAGAAAGTGAAAACACCAAGCTCACTAACAGGCCAGCTACAAGGCAATGCGATTTCAGTCATAGCAAAAACATGGAAAGGGTTACCAGTTGTATCGATAAAGCGGACATACTTTACAGTGAAACAGTGGCAGCTGATCGAAGAAAGGATGAGATATCTCACGAAACACCAAAACATCAGATTATAATATGCCCTAGCCTGTACATGGTAGAGCGCCCCATGCACACATTCCAGAGAGGCTCGTCACTTGTATAGGTCGCTCCACCCTCCCGCGCTACAGCGCTTCCGCTCCACCCTTCAACTCACGCTAGATCCAGCTCTGTTCCGCCCTCTCGACTGTATCCCAACTCCTCCAGCCCCACCGCTGCAATCCCACCCCCTTTCTCTCTCCCACTGTAGCCGCGCTACTCCCTCCCTCCTCCCCCTCCCCCCTCTCCCCGCCTTGCAGCTGCATCTTTATCCTCTTTTCTTTGCAACCCTGGCCTCTCTCCCTTCCCCCCCTCCCCCCCTCCGCTACTTCTGTATTGTATATAATATGATAAAGTGTAGAATGGTTTAACTAAAAAATCACGATAAATCAAATCACTACAGAAAAAACAAATCTCTCTCACTGTTTCCAAAAAAAGGCACTTCTTGCAGCTGCCACTTGTGGACCCGAGACCGGAATGGAGAAGTAATCCCACATCAGTGATGCCAGAATATTTCTCAAAAAGCTCTTCCAAACTTCCGTTTATTATTGAGACCATCTATGCAAGGTATGGCAAACCAGAAAGTGGTTGGGACAAGAAAGGGGTGAGGGGTGCCCATCAACAAATTTACAGTAGCAATAATGCAAACCCCGTTATCCATCAATTAGCCAAATAAATCAATCAAATGATCGGAAAGCAATACACCTTTGCGAGCTCTCAATGAAATCTCATAAAGTAGCTGCGTGCAACTCGTTGGAATGAATATACAAATTTCTAGCAACTATCAGTATACATCCACGAAATCATGATGAATGCAACCTACCCCCCC